ATATGTTCTAATCCAATTAAACATGTATAATTATTTAATTTTATGTGTTTATTAAATTATGAAATTTCCTAGGCATGTACAAAAACAAGACTTAAAGGGAAAGAGATAAAATAAGAACTTGCCTTAAACTTTCGGATCGAAAGTTAAACTTCTTCTTCCTTGATCTTCTCTTTACAGGGTTTTTCTCCTCCTTCCTTCCTTTTCCTCCTGCCCTCTCTAACTCTCTCTCTTGAATATATCCACGTGAATATTTCTAACTCCCTTTTACAACCTATAGCTACATATTTATAGGCTAAATAAAATAACCCTAACTCATTTCCCAATCCAGGTCAACTTAAAAAAAATAAAAATAAAAATATTAAAAAGGTAAGTAAAATTTGTTACGTATATAATTTATGTATATCTTTATTAAATAAATAAATTATACCCATCCCATTATTTATTAATAGATTATCCAATAATACTTAAGTTACCATAATATTATAAAGTAACTTAAAACATAACACGTATCAAATCTACGTATATTTTTATTATTTAAATATAAAACATATACATCAGATTAAATATTACTACCCAAGTTACCATAAAAGTAATTAATAAATTACTTTCCCTTTTATATATATTAAAAAGGTAAGTAAAATATGTTACGTATATAATCAATTATCTACCCATATTGAGAAAGTAATTTTATCATATAGTTCAGGAGTGAGTATAACAGAACAGGTCTCAACTGAGACTGTAGACAGTTATAATTAATAATGCAACAATCGAGATCTTGATACTAAACCTAGGGGGGTGAATAAGTAATTTTATAATTATGATTTAATTAAAAATTTACACAATAATTTAATCAATTATGCGAAAAAGAATATATTAAATTGATATATTAACTCTGATACCAATTGGGGAATTTTAACCTTTGTATTCTATTATCAATTCTATGTGTTTGACCCAACACAAATAAATCTGATTTAATTAAATAAATTAAATCTTCAACAAAATAAATAAATTTGTTTAAATAACCAAATCAAATATTTAGCCCACAACAAAAATAAATTTATCAATTTATGTGGTTAGTTATATCTATTTAATTGCTTGGATACTTAAGTACATGTATTGATTGATTTAAACATGATAATCATTGGCAACATACAATTAATCACACATAACATATAAAACAATTAAATAGTGCAATAAAGTAAATAAGTAAAGGGGCTTACACACCAGATCTACATGGAAAAGCTACCCCAGCCTGTAGATCAAAAATCACGAGACTAGGCTTGACCAAGAAATTGACTATGAAAGAAGGTAGTACAACCAGTTCAGTTCAACATGATGAATACCATCCTAACTCCAGACTCAGCAAGATAACAAATCTTAAATGCCCGTCCACCATAGTTGATTTACTCCACACTTAGTCTCAATCCAATTGCTTTACTAAACACATTCCAAAAGATCTTATCAACTGTCCCCCGGCCGATCCATCTAATAGTTATATAATCTCATTGATCCCCATTAATTCCATCATGCATTTCTTCTTCACCTTAGAATCTTTTCGACAACCAATCTGTCCACCACTTCAAGTAATTGGTTTGGTTTGGCCATTAACAGTTGCAGCATTGTGTTGACGTTGACTTTTTAAGCTCGTATCGTGGCAATAATATAAAACAATAAAATTATCATAATTACCATATCTAATGTTGAATGATACGTATGTATTATGAAAAAGAAAAAAATATCAAGTATGGTGCCCTCAACTCTTACAAGATAATCTCTCACACATATTCTCTTATGGATACACACAAGTAGAATTCTCATACAGAATACTTGTGAATAAACAAATAAGAATGCTTAGGTGCAGTAGGGTAAGCACTTTAGGGCTGTATTTTACTTGACATTTTTTTTGGCACACCATTGTCTGTATTTTCATATTTATAGAGAACAATACTTGCTCTCCATTTATATAAACTTGTTTTGCAAGTAAACTTGTTCTGCATGTAAACTTGTTCTGCATGTTGATAATTTGTTTTCCAAGTAAATAAAACATAAGAGAAAATATAATTATAGAATAAATTAATTTCAGGTCTTTTTCTGTAGAAAAACATTTTAAACTTGATCTATAAAAGTATCGTATAAAAATTAAGAAAATTCATTAAGGAAATAAAGTTACGAGATTAAAAATGCTCTATCGATCCCACAGTTCATGCCTTCGATTGATCGATGCTTCATAAGGTTCGATGGATGTCCTCAGGTCTCTATCGATCGAAGATGCTTAAGGGTCAATCAACTATCGATGCTTCATAAAGTTTGATCGATGGAAATGCAACATTCTGTTTTCGACCCTTTTGACATGAAATTGTCTCTAAGCATTCTTGATTTTGGACAACAAAATACTCCATGAAGGTTCTAGAGAAATGTCTATATATATATATATTTTAGTTGGTACCCACACACAAGCCTCTATTGAGATTCTAACTCCGATAACCTTTTGAAAAGTAGAGGTTTAGTACTGTCAGGCCACCGACATGTTGAAATAAATTTAATATCTAAAACAACTTAGAACTTAACAAATAGGCATTGATGCATTTATGAAAAATCAATAAGTTCCAAAATTCATTAAGCAATTGAATTAAAATCTATAATTTCATAACTTCAAAATCACCATTCAGAATTCATAAAAAAAAATAAAAAAAAAATAAAAATTACCATTAGTTGAATTGCTTGCATGTTAACACCAAGCACCGACCCAACTAAGGTCTGCCCCACTGCAATTGTTTTTATTTATATTTTTAACTATATTTTTTTAATTAAAATTTTAAAAATACCCCACTCAATTTGTAAAAATATTTCACTTAATATTCTTGCCCCCAGTGAATTTTTTATTTTTTTTTATACAAAAGATAATTGTCTCTCCTTTTCACCCCTACCCCCCCTCTCCTAGCCACAAAAAATTAAAATCCCATATTTGTTACTCCATTTTTAAAATATTTATCTTCAAAAAAATTTATTCTTCAACTACGACCACTCAATTTTTTTTTTTTTTTTTTTTGGGTCTACCAACTCCATTTAGGATTTTGTCAAATGTTTAATTGGTCGAGGAGTAGAATTCCAGGCAACTTTTGACGGTGATGGGAAAGGGTCTCTCGCTGCTTATGTTGTAAAATTACCATGATACCTATATACTTTATTAAAATATATACTAAATATATGAAATAAATTTATTATTAGACATAGTAATTGGCTCTCTTGGCGCTCTTATATTAATCCTCAACACATGTAGTTATATGAGTTTTCGAATGGTTTAAAATTTTCAATAACCTATTTAATTTTGTAAATAATATGTTAAATTCTCAATATTAGCATAGAAACTGCACAATATTTAGAATTTTTAAAATTAAAATAACATCAAACAAACTATAACCATAAGTCATGGTATAATCTTATGACAATATTTTTATAACCTATAGCAAATAACATGATAATTATTGCATGTCTCAAAATTGATAACACTTTCCATGTACAACAGTACAAAGCTTCACATCAAAGCACTATTTAGGTTCCGTTTTTTTCTTTTTATTTTTATTTTTTGTTATTTGGCAAAGGTCTAAGTATAGTCTATCGGGTGGTGGGAGGTGTAAAATAGGCTGTCGAAAATTGCTAAATAAGTTATTTTTGTTATATTTTAATATATTTTTTTCATAAATATTTTATGACAACCAAACACTAGAAAATATTTTAACAAAGAGCCTAAAAGTAAAAATGAGGCAAGTTGGCTTTCATTTAATTTTCGGTAACATTCTTATTCTTTATTATATTGTTTTAAATTTAATTTGCAACAATTATTATAATTTAATATTTATGAGCTCGGTATTAACCCTTCAAAGTATAAAAATTATGAGCTCTTTTTGTACTTTGGGTTGCTTGAGTTCCGTCCAAATTGAATCCGAATTTTGATTCAATACCAATCCATGAATAAATTATCCATCCCTGCCAAATTTTCGAGAATATTTTATTTTATTTTATATTTTTTTTTGGTGAGTGAAATGTAGTAATCACAAAATTTATAATACAAATTAGTAGTTAATTAAGGGGTAAAATCTTAAAAGAATAATTAAGTATTTAAGAAATAATATAAATGAATCTATAATCCAATCTGAACAGGATATATATGGGTATTGAAATTATATTCCTAATTTGAATATGAGAACTAAATGAGTGAAAACTATATATATGTATAGGGTTGTCTACAAAACCTAGGTCATGGGAATCAATCTCCAAGCTTTGAGAGAGAATTTGGAGGAGATCATAGGATTTGCAAAATTACGAGGTAAATAGTATTCTATATTTTTCTACTATAGTTGACATGTTTCTAGCCTATAAATTAATCAATTATGCATATGAACAATTATGGTATTGTTTATTTAATTATGAGAATTAAATTAAAATGGTTATCAAAATTGGTTACTCTTTTTTTAGATTTGATTATTTAACGGAAAAAATAATAATAATAAAGAAAAAAAAAAAAAAAAAAAAAAAAAACGCGCAACTTTACTTTATATCATCATTCTCAGAAGCCCATCACATTTGAAGGCTACAGAGTCAAAGTAAGAGAGCTCAAATCGTGAAACGGTCATCAGCAGCCAAACAAAGCCTAGCGTCGGTATCCCTCCTCCACTTTCTTCTCAACAAAAAATTAGGGTTTTTTTTGTTTGTTTGTTTAAATCTCTGCAATTTGATGCAGCGATCTTACATTATATATATAAGCATATGAATATACATATCCAATTATACACGCATATGCATATATTAAATATATATACATATAGACATATGAAAACAACCATTAGAGTCCATAGAAGGTTCAAGTTTTATGCCGTGTGTATCACGAATAAAGCTTTAATGAGTAAACGACAAATCCATATATTATTGTTAAAGAGAGCGTCGTTAATACGACGACGTTTGTAGATTTTGATTCTACTTTATCGCATATTATTGAAAAAAATATGTACATACAGTCATATATATAATTTTTTTATGGTGTGATGTAGACGACGACGACGCCGGACAAACCCTGCCGGTTGATGTGTCGCCTCCCATCAAAATCAGTCTAATTCCCTTCCTTCGATTATCACCTAAAACCGCGATTCGATCACCATCAAACCCCCAATTCTGAGGTAACAATTCGCCTTCAATTTGCATATGATTGTAATTCATATATCAATACCCAATGATTCTGATCATCTGAATTCTGTTCTAGCTCTGTCGTGTTAGATCTGCTATGCGATAAGCAAGTTATAGATATGTATATATATATATGGATGGATGTATGTATGTTGTTGTAAAAGCGTTAATTTCAACCCACAATTTACCATAATTTGAATCCAGGTCTTGCATTGCTTCTGCTAATAGAAGTTTGTGTGTGTATATATATCTAAAAACACATCTCTACGAGAATTTTTCCAATTTTGTTGCCACCATGTGCACGATTATTAACTTCGCACCTTCTTCCAATTTCCTCTTCTACCCTGACCAAATTCGCAAAAGTATCTCTCTACAGAGGTGAGTCTAAATGAATCATCAGCTCTTATATTAATAGATTGCTTCATTTCGTTTCGATATAATCTGAATTAGGGGTTTTGATTGTTAGATTTAGGGTTTGTTCGTCCACATTGCCTTATTTAATCTCTACTATCTCATGGTAGATTTAGGTTTCTTCAGCATTTTGATAAAATTTGTTATAAGCATATTGTGGCTTGAAGTTAGTTATTGAGCATAATTAATTAATTATTTATATACATATGTATTTTTATTTATTTATTTGGGCTGTATTATTGGGGGTGAATGGGCAATACTAGTTTTCCCCTTAATTTACATCATTATCTTCCTGTTGAACATACAAAATGGAGGTTTATGAATGTTTTTCCTTAATTTACATTCTTATCTTACCATCTAATGGAATCGACAATACTAATGGTCTGCCTCTGTTATGCTCATTGTTGGCTATACTCATGTAGCCAGGTCCAACCATCCAAGCCTGCAGAGGGTTGTCTTGAGTAGCTTAAATCTAATAATATAGAAGTTCTTTTACTATGTAACAATGCATATAGTTATTTCTTACTTATAAGAAAAGCACATAAGATTATTTTTTAGTTAAATCAGCTATAGAATAATCTTTTGTGTCTTTCAGATCAATGGCATCTTCTGCAGACCCATGGGTCAGGGAATATAATGAAGCAGCAAAACTTGCTGATGATATTAATGGCATGATATCTGAGAGGAGTTCATTGCCTGGATCAGGACCAGACGCACAACGTCATTCATCTGCTACACGGAGAAAAATTACAATATTAGGAACCAGACTTGATAGCTTACAGTCTCTTCTGTCCAAGCTCCCTGGCAAGCAGCCCCTGTAAGCCTTCTTGATCAATTTTACTGTGTATAAAAAAGATCTTGTAAACTAAATAAGTCAGAATGTCATATAAAATTTTGTCTAATAAAATTGAGATTAAGCACAAAAAAATATCATGAACTGATTTTTTTTGGGTGCTAAATATAAATGGAGAACTTCTTTCCTCTCGTCACTTAATTTTTCTCACATGCTTAATTAGATAATCACATAGTTTATTTGAAATTAAATACTAAATTGAGACAAGATCATTTTTTCTTTTCATGTCTTCTATTATGCTTGCTATGCTATTTGGCATCCTATTAGCGTTGTTGTGTCATCTTCCTTTCTGCTAAGGTGTGGTTGAACATAAATTTCCCTACAGTTGGTAATATCTATGTACTTTCAATTGTCTGTTCACTTGTTTCTTGAGATTTAATAGATGCTTTTGGCTATATCATGTTTGCAAATAAATGTTGTTCTCACCTGCTGCTTAACCACACACACACACACACACACACACACAAACACAAACATAAATATTTACCCTTTCCGAAGTATTTATCAAACACCTTTCTCTTTGTCTCTCCCTGTGTGGTTGCATGACACATGTGGGATCATGCTGTACAATGAACTTTCATATATTCAATACACATATACAGAGGTTTATATATATAAGAAAGCTTATTGACATGCATCAATGTTAAGAATACTTAAGAACTACAAGTGATATGCTCCAATTCCAATTACTTGCCAAAAAAAAAAGAAAAAAGATATGCTCTAATTCCAATTGAGGGATAGAGGATCATTACTCAAGGCTTTGATGGTCCAAAATGCATCTAAATGGGGTGAATAGATATTGTTCAATTTTTAACTAACAAGAACTTATTTTAAATTCTAGTAACTATATTTTGAGTCCTAATAGAAAGTCCGTCAGTCGGACTACTCTGACTGCTTCACTGTGAGTGGGGGGCATGGGCCCACCACTGATGTTAATAGAAAGTTATTCTACGATGAAGCCTGTGATCCCCTGCATGTACTGAAATCTTGTACTACTTGATTGCATCAACATTGATTGTTAAGACTGGTAATGAAAGGGTGATATAAGAAATTAGAATTTCTCCTTAGTTGTGTATGCAGAGGTCTTGAAGTATTGACCTGTACTGAGATGTATTGCTGATACATACTGTTGCTTTCAGGGTCTTAATCCACCTTTCAGCCTAATACATATTCCAAGTAGAAAGTTATTTATCAACAAATATCCCAGGCTTTGTATGAGTTCACAGTGTTTTGTGATACATATTTGCCTAATTGTTAAGGATCCACTGAAACACAATCAATGCATAAGGCCCACCGACCAAGACTCTGTTAAAACGTTTTGGGAGACAAACATATATTGATAGAAGTGATGCTCTTAAATCCACAGGTCGAAGTTAAAAACACATTGGTACGAGTTTGGGATGAGAGAGAATAAGAGAAGTCGTGTGTTTGTGGAAATGACTAAATTCTGGCAAATGTGTCATGCCGGTATCCAGAAGTTTCATCTTCTAAATATGGTCTAAGGCTTGTTACATAAGTAGCTAGATATATTTTTTAGTAAAAATCTTTTATAGGCCTCATTTCTTAAAATCATGTTCTCTTTTTTTAACAGTGATATGTAGTCCCAATTATTTTGGGCTGGTTATGAATACTGCTCCATTTTCCAATTTGAAAAACACCTTACCCCCAGTCTCTCATTTTTATTTTATTTTATTTATTTATGTTAATCTGACATGGGACTCCCCTTTGGAACCCATGGTCTCAATGTTTTGTGTTAAATATCAAGATCATATCACCATATTGGCGCTCCCCTTCTTGAAGGGTCATAAACATGCTGATTTATATATATATATATATTTTATTTTTTTCATTTTTTACATGTAAGCACTTTATTAATTGAACTTGGTGGCTGCACAACAATGATCTGCAATGCAGAAGTAATGTCTGGTTATCTGTCTTTGGTTGTGTATTGAAGCATCGTTTTGTTATACTACGCAGATCAGAGAAAGAGATGAACCGTCGGAAGGATATGCTTGGAAACTTGAGATCAAAAGTAAACCAGATGGCCTCCGCATTGAACATGTCCAACTTTGCCAATAGGGACAGTTTGTTAGGGCCAGATATTAAGCCTGCTGATGCTATGAGCAGAACGACTGGCTTGGACAACCATGGCGTTGTTGGTCTTCAACGACAAATTATGAAAGGCAAGCTGTTCTAAGTTCTTCAGAATGAAACTTTCCTTACTTGTATCATAAAGGTTTATTCACAAGGTATTCTTTTTGGGTGTTCATTTGAAGCAGAACAAGATGAGGGGCTTGACAAATTGGAGGAGACTGTGATAAGTACAAAACATATTGCATTGGCTGTAAATGAGGAACTTGACCTGCACACTAGACTAATTGTACGCGTTTTTTAGTCTATTTATTTTTGCTGAGTCTCTGTTGTTTATTGGTTCATTTATTTGTATTTCTCCTTTCTTCCTTGACCTTCTCATCATAAAGTATTAATTACTAAAATGAACTGAACGACGTTTATGCTTCCTTGCTCTTCGACTTTGCAGGATAACCTGGACCAGCACGTGGAGGTTACAGATTCCCGGTTACAGGTGACACTCCTCCCAGTAGCACATTTCTTTTGGTGCAAATTCCTCTTTTTTTAACTAGTGTGTGCAATTACATTGTGCTCTTGATTGTTAGAGATGTGCCTTCTATATGAAAATTCTCAAGCATTATTAGTATCCTTCTATCCAGGGTGATGAAAATTGAAATTGGGATTTGGAATTTATCTACCATGTGAAAGAGTTTTGAAACTCAGGAGTATATTGACCCAAAATCAGGAATAATCTGGAATAGTCAATAATGGATATCATTGGGGAAAACAACGGCTGTTGGGGGAAAGCAATGAATAATATTTGTAATTTAGAAATATTTGGAATAGTTTAAAACTTAAACATTTAATTCAGTGTTTGATCACCTGGCATATGGATATTTTATTTTATTTATTTATTTTTTTTGTTATTGAATTATATGAGAAACAGTCATATGGATATTTAAATTATTATTATTATTATTATTATTATTTTGTTATTTAATTATATGGGAAACAATCTGATTACAATAATGCTCCTTTGGGTTTTAGTCAAAATGAAAGAAAAGAAGAATAATTAGACTATGTTATAGGATTTCAGTTCTCTTTCTTTAATGTTATCAGGAAGCGACAAAACACATATTTATCTAAGAGTGCAATTCACCAATCTTGATTCGGGATAATTTATTATTTGCAATAGCTCCTTTAACCTCTGTATTTTGTATTATGATTGAAACTTTAACCTACATAATTTTTAAGATGATGCAAGGTTGTATCAGATAGAAGATTAGTTCATGCAATATATAGGATCATGAACATCTCAGACACAAATAAGGCAATTAGAATGGAAAATTGATCATCAGCAGAAATTTGAGCAGGAAGCATCTCTTAAGATTGTATGATGATGAAAAGTTCTTTTACACCATTACATTATCTGACACTAGTCCTATCCATTCAGGTGCTAGGAGTAGGAGGGATGGGTTGGGCAGTGTTAATTTTTTGCTTTATTCATGCAAGTGCTCCTCATGCTTGAAACCCCAAGCTCCTGGACTTTCCAAGTAATCGTGCCTTTTGCACTAGGCAATTTTCCTATGATCATCAGCCACCTTAGACCACGTAACTGGCTTTGTTAATTAGATCTTTATCATCAATTAAAGTCGTGCAAACAGAGTGGGAAGAAGTCGTATTAGCAAGTCTCATTCGCTATCTTTAATGGTTTTGGCTTTGCAGTTTAATTGGCCAATATTGAAGGAAAAATAATGATAAAATATAGAAAGTGACTTTTATATCCCCTCTTTAATGAACTTCAGCCTGGGGCTTAGCTGGCATAAATAAAATATAAAAATGGAAAATTTTATAAATGTTTGTGATTGAACTATTGAAGCCCTTTCTTACAAAGTTGAAATTCGGATTCCTGCTGGGGGGAAGTTTGTTGCTTACTTGTTTAATAATATATCATGAATGAGCATGTCCTTTAACTTTTTGTAACGGAAGTTGCTGGGAATCATGACATCCATTTGAATGTCTATTAGTTTTTCAGCTGATTTATCCTTTTTGTTTCCTCTTATTGTGAAAACAGCGAGTACAGAGGAACCTGGCAATCCTGAATAAACGCACCAAGGGTGGTTGCTCCTGCATGTGTCTGCTTTTATCAGTTGTTGGGATTGTGGTTCTGGTTGTCGCTATATGGTTGCTGATCAAATACTTGTAATGCAAACAATAGTAAGCGTTGGTTTTTGTGTGTGTGTGGAAATGGCTTTAACTACTGGTGTTGTTAAAACACTCTTATTTGAATTCTATAATTCCCTTTCAAGGGGAGGTTTGTGCAATGGATTGTGGTGTTGAACCAAACTACTATTGTATTACAAATAACCAAGTGTCATTGACACATGGAAGTGTTGATATCTTCTCATGTTGACTCTCCATTGTTGAAATGCAAATGTACTTGGCACTCACATTTATCCATTGAAAAAACTAACAGATCTGCTTTTGGAACTAAAGGTGATACCTCTATACTCCACATCATTTAGCCTCTTTATATTCTGTCAAGATACTGCCCACATTAGTGATGTGATTGAATTGTCTGCTTTTGACTATTCAGCTTGAGCAATTTTTATTTTTTTTTTACTTCCAAGTCAAAAGCAATCTTTAGGCATTCTTGAAACCATCCACAGTGCACCTCAATCAGTTTTTATTTCTTTTGGGTGGTGGGGTTGGTGTTCTGTGTGTCTGAACCCTTGGTTGGTCCTATAGTGTTCGATCTGCATAGTATTTAATATGTTGAGAATAATAAAATGAGTTTTAAATGAATTTCTTCAAATTATCCCTGTTCATAAAAACTAATTAAAAATAATTGTGATATACACTTGTGAATTATATACTTAAAATAAAATACTATATATAAAACACCCATGATCCGGTGGCTTTTTTACATAATAATTATCAATCAATTAAAAGGGCGTGGATTATTTGGATCTTGGATTAAGCTTGATCCATTTCATGCTATTTTATATGTAAAGCCAACCCAAACCGCAACAGACCGTCAAGCTATCATTTCAAAATTCAAAATTTAAATAAAATTAAAATATAATAAAATGAAAACTCTGTCTTCCTGTTTTTTTCTTCCTTCATATAGTATGAAGAGTTGAGTTCAGACTGTTCTATTTTATATAAATTAAGAATCACTATTATAATGGCGTAACGTAAATCTTTAAACTAGAGAAACAATGTACAGTGTACACAATTAAAATGTTGTTTTCTAAACTTGAATTCATTTATGAAATTCAAGTGTACAAGCAACATCCGGTATACCTGTATTATGTGATATGCTAGGAGGTCTCAGAATAATCCAGTAGAATGTGGAATTCCCTTCTAAGTTGATCTCGGCTCTTTCAGTACATTGCAGAATACAGGTCCTCAAGAAAATTTTCAATCACAAATAAATAACTAGCATCTGTTCGGAATAATCATGATTGAAACAATACTCTCTTTAGTATTTGTTTATATTAAGGGACAAATTAAAAAGAATGGGCATTAGATAATTTTTTTTGGGTATAGTAGCTAAGTGGAATTTCACTACTATTTCATAATAGAATTATGAAATATAGAGGGGTCTATTTGAAATATTGATACCTCATGGGAGTTAAGTGGAATTTAAGCATTTTTTTGGGTAAGTAACGGGCCTTAAAGTTTTCAATAAGTAATCAGAACATAGTTAGCATCTGGGCCTGAAAGGCCTCTGGAGTTTTATGGGCCGTGATACAAGCCCAGAAAGCTAACTTAAGCCCTAATCTTGATGAGAACTCTCTGTTGCTAATGGAGATTCATGAACTAGATACTACTATATAGTTATATGTATTTATACACATTTATATGTGTAATAATAATAGCTGGAGAAAGAAAAAAATGGGGATAGTGCCAAAGGAGGCAATTGAGGTGATTGCTCAGAGCATTGGTATCACCAATTTGTCCCCAGATGTCTTGCCTGCCCTCGCTTCCGATGTCGAGTACCGTGTTCGCGAGATCATGCAGGTACAAGAATTATTTCATGTTCAATCTCCAATTTTCTTATACAAATTCCCATTTATATACATACACACAGAATATGTATGTGTAAATGTATACGTGTATATCATTTTTTTGGAATTTCAGGAGGCTATCAAATGCATGCGCCATTCGAAGCGAACCATTTTGACTACAGATGATGTGGATAGTGCGCTTAGCTTAAGAAATGTGGAGGTTAGATTCTTATGTGTAACAATGAAGTTATTTTCATGTTAGATTGCTAATTGATTTTCTTTTTCTTGTTTTTTTCCTGTAATGTTTAGTGACACCATTCAAGATAACTTGAATTATGGGGTTTCCTGTTTTTTTTTTTTTTTTTTTTGGGTAATGTTTTGTCACACCATTCAAGATAAATTAAATTATGGAGTTTCTTGTGTTGGGTTGGTTGGGGTTTCTACATTTCTTTTATCATTTGATAAAAACTTTTAGAGCCTTGTTTTTTGATGCTGATTGCTGCTATATGTATATATTTATGTGTACCATGATTTGTTTCCTTGCAAATTTCTTTATTGGTACATGCATATGGGTGTTCACTATTATCTCTGTGTCTGTTCTTGTGGGCTCTAATTGCCGTGTATTTGCATGTGTTTGATTTAATCATTGGCTTTTCATTTACTTATATATTTTTTTTAATCTTACGTAGCCAATATATGGCCTTGCCTCTGGAGATCCTTTGCGGTTCAGAAGAGCAGCTGGGCAGAAGGATTTGTTCTACATCGATGACAAGGATGTTGAATTTAGAGATGTAAGAATTAGCTGGCCATGTCATAACTCATAACTGCTCTTCTAGCTGAATTTTATGAATTATTTCTTTCATGTTCTGATTCTCTGCCTGATGTGTCCAGGTGATTGACTCACCTCTGCCAAAAGCACCACTAGACACTGCAGTTGTTGCTCACTGGTTAGCTATCGAAGGAGTTCAGCCTGCAATTCCAGAAAATGCTCCAATTGAAGGTATTCTACTAAAAATAATGCAGTATCTTTAACTGCATCGAGGTATTCAATACCTTTTAAGTAAGCATTGAGCATTCATTTGGTCACAGAACTTCCTATTCTCCCAACTAGGCCTGAAATGTCATACATACACAAACTGCAATAGGAACATACAAATGCCTTTTGAATCTTGCACGAATTGCTTGGCCTGCTCTGCTTGTATTTGTGTAAAGCATTCTCGGAGTTAGTTGGTTGATGATATTATTTTTCCATTTATTTTCTTTTCTTTTTATTTAATATTTTTGGTTGTGGAGTTATCTGTGTATGATGGTACAGACAAACTGGTTCATTTCCTGCTTTTGTAATTGTATTTCTTAAATTTTTTTTTTTATATTTTAAATTCCTTACTATTTTGATTTGATTCAATTGATCTAGGATTTCTTTGCTCTGGTATCATTATTGATAATAGTAAATTAATATTATGTTTCAATTTTCATTGCAGCGCTTGCAGTACCTCCCGACAACAAAAAATCCGATTACAAAGAAGATGGAAACCCTGTTGACATTAAATCACCCATTAAGCATGTACTGTCTCGGGAGCTCCAGGTATCTCGAATATTGTCCATTATGCGCACATTCTTCTTGTTTGTGGAACATGTTTATCTGCAATTTCCTTTTTGGTTGCTGTGCAGCTCTACTATGACAAGATTACGGATATCACTGTGAATAAGGCTGATTCCACTATCTTTAAAGAAGCACTAGGGAGCTTGGCAACTGACTCAGGACTCCATCCATTAGTTCCTTATTTCATATATTTCATTGCTGATGAGGTAATCACGATACCATTTCCAGCAACTAATTCTGGGGGCACTATAGCAATTTTCTTGTGGTTGCTATTGTGCAACACACAATGATATGCTAAATATAAGGTTCAAAAAGATCTTGAAGATTCATTATGAATCTTAAAGATGTAAGAAGAACAATATTGTTCTAAAGAATAGAAAAAATAAATTAATAGTTCATAGACTAAATTGATCATCATTGTTGTCTTCATCTCTCCAACATCATCTTCCTAAGCACCATCCTCATCGTTTCCATTTCCCTCACCCTCACTGCCCATCATCTTGTCTTTTCTTTCCCTCATCCTGTCTTTTTCGCATCCTAATTCTACTCTTCTTCATGATGCTTCTCCGGTCCATTATGTTATACCATTGCTGAGCAATTGGGTGGCTAAGGTGGAAAATGAAAATTAATAGGTTTTCAGTTCAGTTAAGCGCATTTCAAGCACCAATTCTTCAAATACTTTACGAATCTTTTGGTATAAGTGGCCTTTTCAATGGTACAAAAATATTTATACCATGCTTTATATATAGATATTTTTGATAGGTATACCATGGGTTATATATTAAAGGCTAGATCTAATTATCACAACCAACGAAATAACTTGTATAATATAAGAGTAGGTTTGTTTAAGAACACCACCCAAAGGTCCCAAACACTCGGATATTGTGATCATTGTTGCCTAGGTCATCTTTAGTTAATTTGGCGGATTCAACTTGCACTTGATTGATTCTTTGAAGATTGTATTTTACATATTATGGATGAAAATATTTTCTGTTATGATGGGTTGATGTTTTTATGCAATTATATCAGGTTACGCGGAATTTGAATAATTTCCGTATCCTTTTTGCTTTGATGCGTCTTGTCGGGAGCCTTCTCCAAAATCCAAATTTACATATTGAACCTTATGTAAGTCTACTTTCAGTTTATTGAATTGAAATGTTAATGCACATGCAAGTGTAGCTAGAAGTACTCAAATGATATTTTTGCAGCCAAACTATCGTATTTAGTCCACCTCAACTTGCAATGTTAATGAAAAGCTGTCAGGCAAACTAGTAGATGGGCCTACAAAAGAAAGATTGTAGATCCATGAAGAAGGCTTGTTGGTCTTTGTTATTTAACTATTTGACTTTTGTTGATTGTGGATTCTAAAATAATGTAGCACCTGCTATCTAAGTTTTGCCCAGGCAATGCAAGTTGAATCTGCTTAGATTGAAAAGTTTCTATCCTGATTTACTTTATATTGAAGGTTGACTGTACCTGTTTCTAACAAGGTTTTGTTTCTTCAGCTACATCAATTGATTCCGTCTGTAGTGACCTGCCTTGTTGGCAAAAGGTTAGGAAATAAATTCTCTGACAATCATTGGGAACTTAGAAACCTTACAGCTAAACTGGCTGCTTCAGTATGCAAGAGGTGAGGATTCACTTTTTATGCATATACAATTATCTCAGTTAAGGGAAACATGATTCTAGGAGTAAATGGCAATCTAGCTTGATTAGAACTCTCTTAAGTGAGGGTAGTCCCTACATAGACACAAACACACAATATATCACTACACCACTTAAAAAGTTTTTCCCTCCTCCTTGGCTGTTCTGACGATATGTGATCCTTTTTTACTTTTAAATGGTACATCAGATGGTCTCACAACTTTGTGAGATTATTTATAAGAGAGAGTGAAATTGATCACTTTTGGATAATTCCTGGTTATCAGTTTTCAATCTTTTCTTATGCACAGATTTTGATCATAATGATTTACTGCTCCACCTTTATCCAGTATGTGTTTCACCAGTAGGTCATACATGAAGAGATTAGGAGATTAGCACTCACCTCTTAGGTAGTCAAACTGAATATCATGTCATCTCATCCACGCCATTTAACTCTTGCAGATTCGGTCATGTTTACCACACTCTTCAGCCACGTGTGACGAGGACTCTGCTCCATGCATTCTTGGACCCGACAAAAGCATTGACGCAACATTATGGTGCAATTCAGGGGCTGGCAGCCCTTGGACCTAGTGTGGTACTCTTTGTTCTCTAGCAGTGGAAAATAGAATGTTTACTTAAGTGATCTTTTCGTATTATTCTTTGTTTCTCATAGCCCGCGGGGGGTGGGGGGTTTGTACTGATCTTTTTCCTATTATAGATATTATCAAAAGGGAAGCTTCTAATTTTCAAATCAAGCCAGAAATATAGTTTAGAGAACTCCCTCTCTCTCTGTCTTCCATTAGCAAGCGAGTTTAGCAGTTAGCAAGTTGGTAAATGAAGATGGCACTTAAGCTCTGTGGAATACTTAAAACAAGGTCTAGATTATGAAAATGCTACAATGATACTTAGTGATGCATCAACCCTTTCCCCATAAGGCTGGGAAATTTAAAAGAGAAACCTTTACTTTTCATATTATAGCTGTTTTAATTTTCTATGCGGCCACTCTAATTTGAATCCTTTTTCTCCTCATCTACCTTTGAAAAGCCTTCTTTTACCTCTAATATTGTTTTTGTACCCAGAAAAAATATTGCCTATTCACATCGAACTGCTTCTTGTTGTATTTGTTTCAGAAATTGTGCGTTACTTTGAGCAATTTACAGTACTCTTAACGACTGTTGTAGGTTCGTCTTCTTGTATTACCAAATCTTGAGCCGTATTTGCAACTTCTAGAGCCAGAAATGCAACTTAATAAGCAAAAAAATGAAATGAAGAGGAACGAAGCTTGGCGTGTATATGGGGCCTTATTGGTAAGTTTTATTTCTAATCCGGTGGGAAGTGTTTTGTCCTCTTTTAAGTCCGGTAAGATGGCTATGCAACAAAACTAATGAAGTAATACACTTCTTAGTGTGCAGCTGGTTTATGCATGCAAGATTGCTTCAAGATGTTCCCAAGTCTGCTATCTCCGTCGACACGTGCCGTCTGGAAGAGTAATGGAAAAGTCCTGACTGCAACACCAAGTATGATCTTCATTTACTTGCTTCCTCGGTTTACACTTAATACGTGTCTTTTATTTGTTAATACAGCAAGAAGTAATTATACTGCCAAATTTAATTAAATGCCAATTTGAGGTTATATTTTGGATTAATTTCCCGAAAGTACTCCTTGTAGCCAGTAGAACAATTTCCAGTGGTCAGTTCCACACATTAGCCCAGGTGCATGTGTTTAAATGTGTTTCAACTTTCAAGAGTTTCTCCTGCAGTTTATAAACTTCCAAATTGTACTAATAATGTTGGGCCACCTTCTATGTTGTAAGTAGCTATGAGGAGGAATGGCCAGTTGTCTAGCGATCAACTTTAGATGCCTTTTTAAAGGAATTAAAATGATGCAATTGAATGGGTCGAGCATGTTGAGATTGACTTAGCATGAATTATGAAACTATTAGTTCGAAAGCGCCGTGGTTGCTTAGTGCATGTGCAAGCATGGTGCTAAGTGGAGTTACATTAGTGCTAAAAACTGTGATGTTGATGTAACACAAACACCTAGGTTAATTTTGAAAATAAGGAGGAATGACTTCTCGTTGCCAGTAGAAGGCCATGTTTAGAAGAAAATTTTAGCATGCCCCTCTCTGATCTATTACATTTCTCACATCTGTACCTTTTCGTATGCAATCAAGATAAACGTAAAGCAAGCATGGACAACCTGATGCAGCAGCCACCGCTCAAGAAAGCAGCCATAGACGGTGCAATGGGTGTAACAAACTCCTTGTCAGGAGACATCCAAGGAGCGACTGGTGTATTTTCGAATACTCTTGGTGGTTCTGATGCTGGTTTGCCATCAATGTCGCGGCAGTTAACAAATGAAAACGTAGCAGGAAGCAACGGCAGAAGGGAGAAGTTTGGTGGTCAAACTTTAAAGAAATCTACTGTTATTGCTCAGGCTTGGAAGGACATGGATGCTGGCCGTTTTCTGCCATTTCTATCTGAATATTTTGGTGAAAGCATGTTCTCCTTTATGCCCATGCCCGAGTCATCTTTCTTCCTGTGATCAAATGGGGAAAATTGGCAATTGTTGTTGACCAATCAGGTGTAAATTCTGTAATTGTTTTGACATGATGATAGATGTTAAAAGTTAAAACTGGTGCTTCGACAATGCATAGATACCTCTGGAACTTATTGGCTTACAATTGATTGTACCAATATCAAGATAGAAAGTTCCCTAAAATTTCTGAGACTCCAATGTATGTATACATGAAATACTAATGGATTAATTTTCGAGCTCAACTTCTTATGGTTACCTGGAATGAGTTCTAATAGTTTGTAATGGAGTCGTTGATTATCCTTTATTTTCTGTTGTCTTTGGGGTGTAAGATGCAGTGCTTGGGGAGGCAATTCAAACACAATATTTTTGCAACCTTACAATTGGGGTGCACATGGTCTGGTTCTAGGCTAATTTGGAACCGAACTGTTCTCAACGGTTCCTTGAAACTTGGAACCGGAAGACGGTTTCTAAAGCAGTCGTAACACTAGCACAGAACATATTTGAAGCATGATTACACAAACATAAATGAAACCAATTGTAACCTTTTTGCCTCATCACTTGAGCTCGCATTCGATGAGGAGGTGGTGAGAGTGCACCTTTTGATTGATTTACTCTTCACAAAAATGACATAAAACAAAACAACTATCTAGACACGAACAAAAGCAAATAGAAATTGTAGCATATTCACCTGAAATCCTTAACATCTTCTCTTTGATACCACCATGTGGTAATGGTCATGGGATTTTATGTGATTCTTTTCACGCTTAGTGCACTGTCGACAAGGGTGTCAAGTTGGATCTTGAAATTTATAATGAAGTAGGTCTTGTCAAGAAAGACGGCAAGCCCTTAGTTACTGAGGCTCTCATCAGAGGTAAATCAAACTTTTTAACTCATTGAGTGGCCCCTTCGATTTGAAACCGCTCCGAGCGAGAAAGACTTTCCCGGACATGTGATACTACCTCCTCCTTATTCGAGCCATCAACTCACACAAGTAAAAATATTTTACTTTAGTGAGCCTTGTTATTAAATGTTAGTATTTAATCAGTTGGTGATATTATATCATTAAAACAACAGGATTAATAAATTATATGAGAACTACATTTTCTACAAAATTAATAAATTATTTGAGGATTACATTTTCTACAACTTAATTTTAACCCATCCCGGGTAGCAACGAGACAATTGTACGTATGCAGGGTGAGTTTATTTCGATCTTTCTTTCTTTGGGGAATTATGATTCTAGTTCACATTGTTCCTCGTAAATTTAAATTTAGTATTAGCCCAGACAATACATGGCCTGTTATGTCCTTATCAATTTTGATCTGGAAATCCAAGTCCAAGCTCAAGATTGAGCTCAAAGTTGACAAAATGAACATAGCTTAACAAGCAGAACGTTACACTCATATTTGGAATCAACTCGAGTTCAGACCAACCAACTTTTATTTTTTTATAATTAACAAAAATTCAGGTGCTCCTTTTGATAAGATTATAAGAAATCACAATTTTTACCATCCAAGAAATGTGATGAGTATTTATTCCAACCTCAATTGGTCAAAATTATCATTCCTCATCAATCACAATTTTGTAATATTTTATTTCTTTAATTTTGAAACTAATTTCCTGGATGGTTACCAGACAAAATGGTATTTCAGTTATTTTTGTTGTATATTATCATACTCTTAATTCCTTCTGAAAATTAATGGACTGCATGTAAAACAATTTTACAGGAGAAGCAAAACCTAGGGAAAAAAATGGCAACTGACACAATAACAATCAAGACATTACACAACAGAAATGCCAAACCCTACCTCCCTCCCTCCCAAAAAGGAGGGGAAAATTAAGGAAAAAATAACAAATGATTAAACAAAAAGAGGGCAAACGAGAGGGTGAAAGAGAAGAAAAAGGATTAGAAGAAGAGGTTCCGTGAAGGTGGCCTAGACGGAACTGTGGAAGGTGAGGTCGACGACTTGACAGGTGATTTCTGGCTTTCTTGGCCTCCTTTTCCCTTCTCCACCAGGCTTGATCCCCTTGGGTCGGTTAGAAGTGTCTTCTGAAATGATTGTGTAAAACCAGTCGCGATGATAGTCACATGGATCTCCCCATTGTAGCGCTCATCCACAACAGCACCAAATATAATGTTGGCAGAAGGATCAGCCAAACTTGTGACAACCTGGTAGTGTTAAAAAATAATAATAATAAATAAAAAGTATACACATCTTGATTTGTAAGAAAAATGTTGTGGAAAATTAATTTATATAGAAAAAAAATTACTCACATTTTGATTGGAAAGGAAAAAAATAAAAAAAAAGGCAAGGGAAAGCTAATTTATAATGACAACATATGGGATTGTATGCTCCACATTTCCTACATTATTTTTATTTGTGACATAATTTCAATTTTGTTGTAAATTTTGTGATTATCAATCACAGACTTGTCATAAAGTCTGCCTAAGAATTAAATCATCAAAGTTCACAAGGTACAGTAACTCAGTGCTGTGTCGGAAAGTATGGGAAAAGGTACAGGCACGATTTAGTGTTTATCTAGTTCTATCTGGGGTTTTAAGCATAGTTCACGTGTAAGAAAACCCAATGAGATCAATGGAGTGCAAAATGAATAATTTAAACATACTGCAAATTTAAGAGGGGAAATGGAAAGAGAAATAATAAAAAATTAGCAGTACCTGAGACACCCTGTTGACTTCTTGCAGGGTTATATCCTTCCCTCCAGTGATGTTATATACTACTCCAGTAGCCGATTGGATTGATGATCCAATCAGAGGAGCCAGAGTTGCTTGCTCAGCTGCTTCTTCAGCACGATTCTTGCTGGATGAAACCCCCACTCCAAGCATTGCAGTTCCGGAGTTCTTCATGACTGCCTTTACATCTGCAAAGTCCACATTTACCAGTCCAGGTATCTGTATAAAGTAAACAATACCTCAATCCTCAAATCATATGGGTCAGCAGCATAGGCAAATTCTAGAATTTCAAGTTGAATTGGGAATATTTGTAAAGAAAAAAAAAAAAACAAAGCACCACAGCAAGATTCCCTGCTGTCGATTAAAAGTAAAGGGCATTGTCACCAGACTCACCACACCCAATATGGCCCTGCACTGATCTTGTCATTTTATTCAACCCAACCACGGGAAAAGGGAGTTGGGTCTAGGAAAACACTCCCGAAAATGTTGAAAAGCCAACAGCTATTTTGGGGAGAAGTTCATGAATGTTTTGAATTGTATGAGAAACAATTTATGCTAAATAAAAATATAAGTAAAGTGACCGTGTTGAGATGACTTGCTATACTTTGCATATTTCACACAGAATTGGAGAAATATTCACCTCTCACTAACTGTACTACTTCCATATTAAAATGTCCTATGGATGCTAAATTTTAAAAAGTCACCAGGCCACGTATGATTTGGAACATCTAAACAAGGTTAGAAATTCTTGTCACAAAATTACCGAGTACAGCCAGTGGTCAATGAATGGGAAGATGAAGTTCAGTGTCGTAGAAGAAAAGAGCACTCACCGTGATTATGTCTGAAATTCCTTGTACTCCTTGTCGTAGGACATCATCAGCAAGAAGGAAAGCATCCTGGAGGCGTGTTTGCTCATCAGCAATATCTAGCAGACGGTCATTGGGAATGATTATAAGGGTATCAACATTTTTCTGCAGCTTTTCAATTGCCTCTAATGCCTGAAAAATAAATAAATAAATCAACACATAATTGTATAGTGTTGATAATAGAATATTGGATAATGAAGAATTAAAATGTTTAAGATACTACTGTAGCATTCAAAGTTCGATGCAGATCTCAACAGTACATGACATATACAATGCACAAATTGTCTCAACTGTACAATATATGACTATCCTTTATCTTAATCATCTTACAAAAATAAATGCATGTTAATCACCCCATCAATCCACCAATCTATGCAATCCCATTGCTTCAGAACTGGTCCAAGTGCTGAACTAGTATCGAACTTTTAGCAACGATTCTATTTGTATGGATAAAAAGAAAGCTATGGCTCATATCATTAAGAAGGACCACACTACTGCTATAATTTTTCATATACTCAGTACGCATTATCCTATGAAAATGAAACCAACAGACTGATTTAGATTAAACACTGTCCAGCCTTAAAACAGATTTTTTATATTTATCTTTTTATTTTTTTATAATTATTATTTTTGTGCGTGTGGGTGTGGTGTGGGGGTTTCCAGCCTCAAACAGGTGAAACTACAAACACAAATAAATCTCCAATGGCCACGTTCAAAGAATGTTACCATGCTTCAAGCATGTTGGATCCATACCCTCATTCAAGTGGTAATGCATCTAAAACTTTTTATACCAAATGGAAACTTACACCATGAAAAGAACCATCTACAGTTTTCTTGAACTTTATATAGAACAATTATTCAACTTTTTTTTTTTTTTTTTATTTTTATTTTTATGTATAAACCTTAATTAGCACAAAAAATTGCTGTGGTGCATCTTGTTGGCAAATTTTTAACTGCGAAAAGGTCCCCCTTGCCCCATTCTGTTATATTTATTCTCTTACTTTTAACCTCTCTCTCTCTCTCTCACACACACACACGCACACATACCATTTTCTCTCAAATCATCCCACATTTATAATAAGCAGTCAGTAGCCTTGTTCTTAGGAAACTCCACCACACCACTGCCATTTGCAATGACTTGCTAATCCGTCACCACCAACTATTCCATAAGTCTCATTATGAACCAAATCCAACCACCACCATCGCCATAAATTATTTCCGAGCAACAATCCTACAACTCATCTATAACTCACCAACGTTATATAGCTTTAACAAAAGACAAACTACCAGCCATTATCGCTATTGTCCTGGTATATAGACACCGCCATCCCCCCTCCCCTCCCCAATCCCACCCCTCAAACAATAAAGATCAACATCTCAGTGAACCCAACATCATTATATTCAAAACACCATCCATAAGGGATGATGGAGGTGATAATTAAATAATATTAGATTGTCTTAATCAAAAGATCAAAGCCAATGTGATAGGTAGCAGCCAGTGGAGGTGGTGAACTATGGGTCATTATGATGGTGGAGGTGTTGGATAGAGGTAGTCCATGGTAGATGAGGTGGTGCACAAGCAAAAAGCTTGACAGAAAAAAGTAAGCAAGTGATACGTACATAATGTGTTGGCGATGATAATGAAGAACACGATGTGGCATTCACCCCCCTATAGCGGAGTTGAAATGTTGGTCCAAGTGATTGTGGCTTATGTTGGCTATGTGGAAAGATGATGATAACAAAGGCGGGCACTATCACTCTAGTGGGGGGGCTAAACATGGTCTTGCAAACATAAGTAAAATTGAAATTTGGACCCTCAAATTAGGGGAAAAAAAATAATAAAAAAAAATAAAAAATTAGAAGACAAAATCATCATTTTATTAGCAATTTCCATAACTAGGTTCCATGATCAAATAACAGGAAGTAGGTATTTATAATTTTAACAAACCATAGGTTAAGTTGATGTAAATCACGACAATTTTTCAGGAATATCAAGGGAGTTAATTATATTTAGTCAACAAAAATATATCTACCAATAACAACATGATAAGAAAGTCAATGTAACATCTTGCAGGTGAAACCTGAAAAGATACATGCAAGCAGAATCAACCTTTGTAGTCAATAAGCATGAAACAAAACAGGACATGCTATCCTTCGTGTATTTCAAGAAATGTTTGGGAAGGGAATTTGTTTGCATTCTAGTATGACTTTGACCTTGAAGCTACTAGATCATCAAATAGAATACAATAAACAAACAAGCATATCATTTTATCATATTTCCAAAGGAAGACAAAAATGGCACCTGCCTGCAGCGTTCTTTTACGTCCTTCAAAGCTGAATGGGTAGGTAACCACACCAACAGTTAAATAACCTGCTTCCTTTGATATTTGGGCAACAATTGGAGCAGCACCAGACCCTGTACCCCCACCCATACCTGCTGTTATAAACACAAGATCCGAGCCCTTAAGAGCAGATGCAATGGCCTCCTTTGATTCCTCAGCAGCTTGCTCCCCCAAATTTGGATTCCCACCCGTACCTGCATTTCTATAAAGTTTTCCGAATCAAAGGCCACAATAAAACCATCACACAAATAGAGCAACAGTGATGATACTACTGAAACACTGGCCTGGTTATTCAATGGTATCGGCACTGCACCTCCTTAACAGAAATAAGGAGTGACCTCCCTGAGGTTTGTCATAACTACACGAACCTCCCCTCTTGTTTGAAAACTAAGCTAACCTCCCAGGTCAGATTTAGTTTTGAAACATATTCCTAATCAGGTCAACAACAATCTTTGCTGATACCAGTCTGTAAAATTGTTTTATTTAATTAATTCATGATCAAAAAAATAAATTGCATACTTTGAACGTTTTTAACATGGGAGGTCAGTGTAATTTCTCAGTCTAGTTAATTATGGCAAACCTCATGGCAAGTCAATGTATTTTTAAAAATTTATTTTTATTTTTTCCTTCTTGGGTCATAGACATAGAGTTAAACTATGCAAAAGTTTGAAGTCTCAAAATCAAAACTTATTATAGATCATAGTGCAAGTGCCAGACCGAGTCCACGAGTCAAAAGCTCTCCAATTTGAATAGGGTTCTCCGCAGCAGATTGCAATAGTGACTGAGCATCCGTGTTTATGGCATAGAAATCAACACCCTAACATTGAAGACGCAAGATCAATTTGTCATCCCTAATTAGCAAGTTGACTTCGAGATGCATATAAGAATAAGACATATACATATACATATATATAAATATATTTATATGCAAACATGTATAGTGTATATGTATCAGCAAAGAAGAAAAGTATCCAATCATGAATAACATAAGAAAGAAAAGACTGGAATGCGATGTTATTAGAAACATTTTAATATTGATATTTAAATTAAAGCAACCTATCATTCTCCAGCAAAATAATTATTCAAAAAAAGATAGAATCAAATAAAAATACCACTGTAACACCCGGTCCATGAGCTTTACCAGAGGACACCGTAATTGGAGTCTTCTTTAATTTTAAAAATTCTAAAGGAGGTCAGCCAATAGAGAATGAAGCGTAAATTATAAATATTTTGTTGATATTTTTAATTGACAAAACTATTAAATCTGACACCTGGATAAAAATTCACAATAATGATCTCTTTCCTTTAATATTGAGAGGTTAAAGATCAAATCCTTCAAAGAAACAGGAGTTCTTAATAAAATAAGACTCAAACTGGACCTCTTAACTATCAAAAGTTTCTAGGACGACCCATAGGTCACCAGCCTAATAGGCCAGCTAGTATCTGGTTGATCTACCAGCCTTGATGTTAGGAGCTTAAGCCACTTGTTGCCTTGAAACAGAAAAGGACGAATCACTCTGTTACTACGGCACTAACCATGGAGAGCAAATCTGTAAAACGGAGGCATATTCCTCTCCAATCTGCGGTTTGGTTGGGTCAGAGCATAATCTGCCACAATCTGCAGATTCAGTTGGTCAAACCTGTGGATTTGACTTCATATTGATTATTTTTTTTCTCTTTCATCTGGTAAATTTATTTTATTGTTGTTAGCATGTGGAGCCAAATTCCACCCTTCTAGTCGGATGCCATTCCTGAAAGCCAGCCACACCCAATCATTTTGTGTTGTTTACATGGACTCTCCTATCTCCCTTCATGTACCTGTGTCGACACGACTCAAAATGGACATGGGTATGAGATGTGTCTGACACACTAACCCAAATCGGATATCTTGATCCTTCACGTGTGATTATTGAAGAAGTAAAATTTTGAATTTGATAGAAGAGAAGAGTTTTCTATTCCAAATTGAGTATATTAAAGAACAAAAGTACAATACATTAAAATATTTATAAAATATATAATTACTTAAATGAGTAGAAAATGCCTATGTAACGTACATAATTTTTGGACACATCTTCTGGTGACCTAAGATTAGACACACACCTGCACCCGATACACATACCCGAGTCTATGTAATGTGTATTACTGTGTAGAATAATATAATTTGTTCATGTTATACATATAATCTTGGAAAATATATATGTATAATAAATACTGTAATTTTGTTCATGTTATAAATATAAACTTGGAAAATATATATGTATAATACATATGTATACACATTTGAAGGTGCTCAACATCAAGTGATATAATGAAAATTGCTGCTCTCGCTTCCATTCATACTTTACACTTTGTTTGCTATAATGTGATTATTGAGACATAAATGGACCATTTGTTATAGAGAATTGAAGCATCTAATTGGAGCAACACCAAATGCCTATAAGGCCTGAATCTCGACACACAAATCGAGGGAAATGAACTCTTAACATAAAAAACAATGACATAGGTAGTAGGCTATTGCGTTTTAAAAAACTCGGAGAATTGAGTAACATATTAGAAGAGAGAGAATATCATTGAAACATGTAATTCTGAGTTTTTTTTTTTTTCTTTCTATTGGATAGACCTTTTGAAATAATAAAATTCCAATATGTCAAAAGTTCATAAATGACAAGATCAATTTGTATGTAATATTAAAGTGACAACGAATTCATACACATTTTTAACAGTTTAAATACCAATAATACTTAACATTATTAAATGCAAACTGGTTTGCATCTGTATTCCAAAACATAATAATGTTGGAGCAATTTCTATTTTCTTAAAGGGCCATTAACATTTCACTTACAAAAATCAAGTTAACATTACTCAACCAAAATAAGTTTCAATTGGACAGTTATGGTTATTTTAGCTAATACTTCGCTCTTAAAGATTAGAAACTCAAATCAAATTTCAAAATATATGAACTCTTCCTACGTTATTGAATATTGAATACAATGAGATTTAAATTGGCTTCATCTACTTATTGTGATTCTCCGTCTCTATTAAGATAATATCTAGGCAATTACATTTCTAACAACATAAGCAGCAGGTTGCACATTTATATTAGAAACATTATATGTGTATATATATATATATATATATATATATATCTCACTGGGTATTCTCTAAATTCAATAAAATGGAAAGCAAAATTATGGGAATCGGTTGTTCACCGGAACACATGATGGATTGTTTGTCTGTGGGAATTCAGTAAGCTGCAACTCTTTTATTAGCATTTTCCTAACCAGATATGCACAGCAGCAAAAATGAACTGATAAATTGGAGTCCAAATAGAAACATTAGACAGTAAACAACACAACCGTAACACTAACACAACATATTTGAGAAATAATTGATATATATATATATGTATATATAGAAAGAGAGAGAATTTCACTTTGTCGTTTCAAAACCCCCAATATGCAAGACAACCAACCCTAATCTTCAAAGAGATAAATCCATCGAAATAAAGTTATACCCACCTGTAAACCGCTACCAATCATGCGATTAACGGCATTGTTGCCTCCACCTCCCACACCCACGACCTTAATCTTTGCAAACTCCATTGGGGTAGTAAACGAGCTAAACGTGCAGCAAATTCCGGAATGGCGTCGTTTTGAAAAGCTCCTCAGTCGAGACCTCGGAGATAACCATGTTCTCGAGACGAAAGGAGACAAATTCTTCTGACAAAACCCAGTGGAAACCGTAGAAGAAGGAGAAGATGATGAGATCAACTCAGTTGGGCTTGTGAATCGAAGAGAAGCCATCAATGAGAATATTTGGTTTCCGAGAAAATGGAAATGCAAAATAAAAATGAGAATTTCCCTGCTCTACTTCTCTGGGTTTTTAGGGTTTCTATAATCACTACAAGAAAATTTACCTCAAACTACAATATGCCTCAGATTGAACCACCCGTTCTTTTCTCTTTTTTGGGGTAACGGAGCCAGCCACCTGTTTTTTGTTTTTTTCATTTTCGTTTTTTTTTTTTTTATTAAAAAAGAAAAAGAAAAAAAAAGAATTGAATGCAAAACGTCAATATATAAACATAGGGGTGATCACGGATAGCAATCGTTCGGTTTGGGAGTAAAGTTCCATCCGAATCGGTTCTCGCGAATTAGAGAAATTTGAAACCTAACAGATCTGTGGGGACCTTTAATCCGAGCCAACCTGATTCGTGAAATAACGAATCGGATCAGATCGGTTTTCACGGATTGAGCTTTTCAAATAGTCCAAGATGATTACATTGGGCCAAATATTATGGCCCATTAAAATTTCAAATTAGTAATTAAAACTTAAAAAAAAAAAATTGTAAATCATATACCAGGTAAACAGGCTAACAGTAACAACAATAATATTTGTAAATAATTGTGTGAGTCACAGTTCCCAAAGTGCCCAATTATTTTGGGACGGAGGGAGTAACAACAATAAATTTGTAAATCATATACCTAATAACAGCAACAGATTTGTAAATCATATGCCCAATGAGTAATGAATTTGGGAGTTAGGGTTAATTTAAAGAATAATGAATAAAAAATAATATAAAAAAATACAGTAAGTATATTCAATATTGTGTGTGTGTGTGTGTGTGTATATATTATTTAGGTAACGGTTTGGATTGGATCAGTTAACGGTTCGGATCGATTTTTTCAAAGCCTAATCCGTTAATCGAATCACGAATAGCGGATTGCTATTTTTCTAAACCATTACCGAATCATGAGATCTGAAAAACCAAACCGAACCACATGAATCGGATTAGTTTGGACCGAATTCACGGATTATTTGCTCATCCCTATATATATATATATATATATATATATATTGGTTGAAAAACGTCAAAACATACATTTTTTTTTCGGAAGGTAACATCAATACATATTGTTTGAACGTTGATATGTGCAAAAATAAATTTTAAAAATAGTACTATAAATTTCTTATGTATAAATTTAACCCGAAAAAACACTTTAGGCAAAAGTAATTACAAATATGTCAAATTTTACTATTCATGAATATATGGAGACCAAATTATCATTAAGTATCTAAAATTTACTAAATTATCTTTAAAATTATAATATAAACACTCTCTCACTCGCTGCCTCCTCCTCTCTCTCTCTCTAAAAGTACAATCTCTTGCAAGTCTCTCTTTCTCTTTCTAAGAGTTTGTGTTCTTGCTCATTTTTTGTTTTTGGCTTTGACTAGAACCTAAGATTGCAAACCTAGCAAACACAGAGAGGGACTATAATTAAATCTTAAACCAGAAGCAACAACTATCTCAAGGAGAGTAGTCGAAGACTAACAGGCCTGTGGCCTCCCAAAGGGTGGTCAGGGGTTCGAACCTCAGTGGAGATAGTATGTGTGAGTCCCAACTAGGGAAAATAAGAAAAAAAAAAAAAAAAAAGAAAAAAAAAAAAAAAGGAGAGTAGTTGAAGCCCCATCACCACCCGTTTGATATATTGAATCAGTTATATCTATAGGCGTTTCAGATGGCAAAGGTATAAGACGACGGTGAGTTTTGGCTTTCTCCTCAGATCCTCGTCGACAAAGACATACTCATAGACTACAACAAATTATCACCACCATGTATTCATGAACAGTTCTTGTTGCGCCTCTCGCTCCTCCCGTTCCTTGTAATGTAGAACTTCCACTGCACTAATGTAAAATCTTTACTGAATAATGTAAAAAATTTATAGAATAATATGAAAATTTTACTTAAGCAAAGTAAAATGGTAATAGGATTATGTAAAACATTTACTGCATAAAAACTTTCACTTAAAAATGTAAAACTCGCACGTAAACAAAGTTAAACATTCAATGCACTTAAAATCCTCTCTCTTTCCTTCGTCTTTCTCCCTGCTCAACTTTCTCCAAGTCAATGGCAAACTCTACTTTAGGCGAGGGGTCTTAGCATCTGTACCCTTAACCTTTTAGGTTTGCACATAAACAGCTCGCACCCCTGCTTCCCTTGTTCCTGTTGCGCCTCTCGCTTCCCATTTCCTTCTGACGCAGAGCTAGCACAAGAGGAGTAATGGTATGCCGTGCCCTAGGTTTGTAAGATAGAATAGAACAGTGACGATGAGGAGTAAATTTCAGATTGGTAAAGCAAGGGTAATTTAATAATTTTCAAAAAAATTTAAGGGTAATTTGGTCTCTATGTATTCATTAAATTAACCCTAAATTTAAAGTAACAATTGGATGTTGTTTTATCTTCAATGTATAAAATTAAAGTAATAAATGTACTGTTGCCTAAGTATTGGCTCAGAGGGAGGTGAATAGAGTCTATGGTAAACAATGGCTAATTTTCGATTTTAATTGTTTTGCAAATTCTATTAAACACCTTATAATAATTATGCAATAATCAGGATATAAACCCAAACAATTAATAGCACACTAGCACAGTTGTAAAAGAGATAAGGGAATAGAAATGCAAACACTTGACATAACGATTTAGCGAGGTTCGGTAACTCCTACTCCTCGGCTCAAGATCCCTTTTGAGACTTTCCCAATCCCACTATGATAGCGCCTTATGGGTGGAAAGCAAACCGGCACAAAAAGCACACGGCTTCTAATACTTCTTGCTAAGAGAACAATTATCTCTTAGACTTCTACCGGGTCATACCAACCCTTATAATTGATTGTTGATAGAAATTTGTTGCACAAGGATATATCTTTTAGAGATTGATATGCAAATCAAAGCTCACAACTAGAGTATAAATTACTACAAATGAAACTTAATACTTTATGAATGATATGTATGAGAGGATGAAGAAAATGAAGAACAAAAGCTCTTTGATACTTAAGAAGGTTTATCTATTTCTCTCCAGTGCATGCCCACAATGTCCAAACATTATGTATTTATAACCCCTTTGAAGAATATAGCCGTTTAGGGTGAATTCATTTATCAGATCTGAAATTTTAGCCCACCTGATCAGTTACATGTACCATCTGTGAGGTCACTTGGAGTTATCTGATCGAATACATGAAGCATCTAATCAATCACTTGGACTCATTTGATCGGTTACATTGGTGAAGTGATCGGTAGGTTCAGATCTTGTTTCACTGCACATGCCAAAAACTAATCCATTTGATCGGTTACATCAATGAACTGATAGGTCACTTGATAAACCACAAAAGATGCGAGTTCACTGATCTTGGCATCCTATCGATAGTATGCCTGATCTGATTGGTCAGATGAAAAATAAATAATTTTTTTTCTGTTTTGGTCATATGATCGACAACATGGTCTGTTACTTCTGCATACCTTATTTCCATCGAAAACATTTAAGTTTTTATATGTCCATTTACTTTAAGTTTACAATGTAAATAAGGAAGTACCCCTTATTTGGTAAAATAAAAAATACAAGAAAATTGTGACAACCCTGGTTTTTAGGCCAGCGTGTCCTGTGATGAGCCGTAAGGATGATCCAATAACGGATCCGAATGCGGAAGGGAAAATAGAAAACAAGACTCTAAGAAGTCAAAGTGACCTTCCATGAGGTCGTGGAACTCAACAAGAACTGATACGGAAGCAAAAGATCGAAAATATGACAAATAAGCCACCAGGGGCAAAATAGTCATTTCTGAAAACTGTAGATGCGGGTGCCACTGAGCACACCGCTGGAAGGACAACGAAAAACTAATCAAGATGGACTCAAGAATCACGTGATTCGAAGTCCGGACGAAGGAGAAACGGCATGACAAAGAAAAACGAGCACTTAAGGCAAAAGGGTAAACTGGTAATTATTCAGGAAGAACTGGGTACAACCGAGCACACCCTTGGAAAGACAGCGAAAAATTAGTCAAGTTCCAAAAAAAATTCACTTGAATCGGAGTCCGGACGAAGGAGAAAAGTCCAAAAGAAGAATTGACGTCGTGGCGGCCCGATGAGGGGCCATGGCGCACACGGCGCCCATGCGCGAGCCCACCGGCGCGCATGCCGGCGCCCAAAGACATAGCTGGTGGTAGCACTTGGCTGCTGCTACATTTTTTTTGATCTGCCCAGAACTGAGGCTTGAAACGGAGGTTAAGACGAGTTTTTCTGGAAAAACACGAATAAGAAACCCCCCCTAAAATTGAGTTTTCTACCCGATAATGCGGACGGAATCGAAAAAACCTCACTGTGAAATCCCCAAAATGCCCCTAGATCAGAACTGAACAAGAGGGTCATAAAGCTGCTAAATGAAAATTGGAAGCTGAAACTTCACGAGGGATTTCTGGTACCAAGACGACATTTTCTGGAAAAACACGAAGAAGAAACCCCCCCTAAAATCATGTTTTCTATTCAACCATGTCAAAAGAAGAAAATAAAACTGATGTTAAAGGTCCATAATGCCCCTAGATCAGAATATGCAAAAAAAAATGCGAAATGAATTCACAAGAGGCTCAAAACACAAATGATAAGGTTTTGCCCGGAAACGACCATGCACGCAAACGTAACTTACCTATTTGGACGTGCTACAATGGTCCACGACTTAAAAATACCACCGATACAAAATTCGACCCCCCGACGGGCAAAAAGGCAAAAATGGAACTTGGAATGAAAACTCGGAATCCAAAAATACAAAACGGGATCAAATGACCGTTTGGCCCTTGGCCACACTACATGATTTATGAGACCCTATGAAAGAATGAGAATGGAATTCCCACACCCGATGCAACCATGGTGAAGCAATGACTTGCGATTTTTCAAGATTTTCGCAATATTTCATGAAGTTAAAAAGTACATAGAATACAATATAATGTTCATTGGCCTCCGGCCTCATCTCATACATATCAAATACATTAAAAGAAGTGTACTTAAGTACACATTACATACATGGAATCAAATATACATATTCTGACATATAAGTCTACAAAATGACATTTCATGCTAACATTTGTATGAAATGGAAACTTGAAAGCTACACGACA